CATCTGGTCCTGGGCTTTTGTTGTTGGAAGATTTTTTAATCGCAGTTTCAATTTCAGTGCTTGTGATTGGTCTGTTCATATTTTCTATTTCTTCCTGATTCAGTCTTGGCAGTTTGTGCATTTCTAAGAATTTGTCCATTTCTTCCAGATTGTCCATTTTATTGGCATAGAGTTGCTTGTAGTAATCCCTCATGATTTTTTGTATTTCTGCAGTGTCAGTTGTTACTTCTCCTTTTTCATTTCTGATTCTATTGATTTGAGTCTTCTCCCTTTTTTTCTTGATGAGTCTGGCTAATGGTTTATCTATTTTGTTTATCTTCTCAAAGAACCAGCTTTTAGTTTTATTGATCTTTGCTATTGTTTCCTTCATTTCTTTTTCATTTATTTCTGATCTGATTTTTATGATTTCTTTCCTTCTGCTAACTCTGGGGTTTTTTTGTTCTTCTTTCTCTAATTGCTTGAGGTGCAAGGTTAGGTTGTTTATTCGAGATGTTTCCTGCTTCTTAAGGTGGGCTTGTATTGCTATAAACTTCCCTCTTAGAACTGCTTTTGCTGCATCCCCATAGGTTTTGGGTCATTGTGTTTTCATTGTCATTTGTTTCCGGTATTTTTAGATTTCCTCTTTGATTTCTTCAGTGATCTCTTGGTTATTAAGTAGTGTATTGCTTAGCCTCCATGTGTTTGTACTTTTTACAGATCTTCACCTGTAATTGATATCTAGTGTCATAGCGTTGTGCTCGGAAAAGATACTTGATACAATTTCAATTTTCTTAAATTTACCAAGGCTTGATTTGTGACCCAAGATATGATCTATCCTGGAGAATGTTCCATGAGCACTTGAGAAAAATGTGTATTCTGTTGTTTTTGGATGGAATGTCCTATAAATATCAAATAAGTCCATCTTGTTTAATGTATCATTTAAAGCTTGTGTTTCCTTATTTATTTTCATTTTGGATGATCTGTCCATTGGGGAAAGTGGGGTGTTATAGCGTGTTACTGTCAATTTCCCCTTTTATGGCTGTTAGTATTTGCCCTATGTATTGAGGTGCTCCTATTGAGGTGCTCCTATGTTGGGTGCATAAATATTTACAATTGTTATATCTTCTTCTTGGATCGATCCCTTAATCATTATGTAGTGTCCTTCTTTGTCTCTTCTGATAGTCCTTATTTTAAAGTCTATTTTGTCTGATATGAGAATTGCTACTCCAGCTTTCTTTTGGTTTCCATTTGCATGGAATATCTTTTTCCATCCCCTTACTTTCAGTCTGTATGTGTCTCTAGGTCTGAAGTGGGTCTCTTGTAGACAGCATATATATGGGTCTTGTTTTTGTATCCATTCAGCCAATCTGTGTCTTTTGGTGGGAGCATTTAGTCCATTTACATTTAAGGTAATTATCGATATGTATGTTCCTATTCCCATTTTCTAAATTGTTTTGGGTTCGTTATTATAGGACTTTTCCTTCTCTTGTGTTTTTGTCTAGAGAAGTTCCTTTAGCATTTGTTGTAAAGCTGGTTTGGTGGTGCTGAACTCTCTCAGCTTTTGCTTGTCTGTAAAGGTTTTAATTTCTCCATCAAATCTGAATGAGATCCTTGCTGGGTAGAGTAATCTTGGTTGCAGGTTTTTCTCCTTCATCACTTTAAATATGTCCTGCCAGTCCCTTCTGGCTTGCAGAGTTTCTGCTGAAAGATCAGCTGTTAACCTTATGGGGATTCCCTTGTGTGTTATTTGTTGTTTTTCCCTTGCTGCTTTTAATATGCTTTCTTTGTATTTAATTTTTGATAGTTTGATTAATATGTGTCTTGGCGTGTTTCTCCTTGGATTCATCCTGTATGGGACTCTCTGTCCTTCCTGGACTTGATTAACTATTTCCTTTCCCATATTAGGGAAGTTTTCAACTAAAATCTCTTCAAATATTTTCTCAGTCCCTTTCTTTTTCTCTTCTTCTTCTATAATTCGAATGTTGGTGCATTTAATGTTGTCCTATAGGTCTCTGAGACTGTCCTCAGTTCTTTTCATTCTTTTTTCTTTATTCTGCTCTGCAGTAATTATTTCCACTATTTTATCTTCCAGGTCACTTATCTGTTCTTCTGCCTCAGTTATTCTGCTGTTCATCCCTTCTAGAGTATTTTTATTTTATTTATTGTGTTGTTCATCATTGCTGGTTTCCTCTTTAGTTCTTCTAGGTCCTTGTTAAATGTTTCTTGCATTTTTTTCTACTCTATTTCCAAGATTTTGGATCATCTTTACTATCATTATTCTGAATTTTTTTTTTTTTTATTGCGGTACGCGGGCCTCTCACTGTTGTGGCCTCTCCCGTTGTGGAGCACAGGCTCCAGACGTGCAGGCTCAGCAGCCATGGCTCACGGGCCCAGCCACTCTGGGGCATGTGGGATCCTCCTGAACCGGGGCACAAACCCATGTCCCCTGCAGTGGCAGGCGGACTCTCAACCACTGCGCCACAAAGCCCCTGAATTCTTTTTCAGGTAGACTGCCTATTTCCTCTTCATTTGTTAGGTCTGGTGGGTTTTTACTTTGCTCCTTCATCTGCTGTGTGTTTTTCTGTCTTCTCATTTTGCTTACTTACTGTGTTTGGGATCTTCTTTTCACAGGCTGCAGGTTCATAGTTCCTGTTGTTTTTGGTGTCTGTCCCCGGTGGCTAAGGTTGGTTCAGTGGGTTGTGTAGGCTTCCTGGTGGAGGGGACTAGTGCCTGTGTTCTGGTGGATGAGTCTGGATCTTGTCTTTCTGGTGTGCAGGTCCACGTCTGGTGGTGTGTTTTGGGGTGTCTGTGGCCTTATTATGATTTTAGGCTGCCTCTCTGCTAGTGGATGGAGGCTGTGTTCCTGTCTTGCTAGTTGTTTGGCATAGGGTGTCCAGCACTGTAGCTTGCTGGTCGTTGAGTGAAGCTGGGTGTTGGTGTTGAGATGGAGATCTCTGGGAGATTTTTGCTGTTTGATATTACGTGGAGCTGGGAGGTGTCTTGTGGACCAGTGTCCTGAAGCTGGTTCTCCCACTTCAGAGGCACAGCACTGACTCCTGGCTGGAACACCAAGAGCCTTTCATCCACACGGCTCAGAATAAAAGGGAGCAAAAATAGAAAGAACGAAAGAAAGAGGATAGTATAAAATAAAGTAGGATAAAATAAAATAGTTATTAAAAAAAAGAAAAGAAAAGAAAAAAAAGAACGGAGGGACAGAATCCTAGGACAAACGGTGAAAGCAAAGCTATACAGACAAAATCTCACCCAGAAGCATACACATACACACTCACAAAAAGAGGAAAAGTGGAAAAAATAATATATCTTGCTCCCAAAGTCTGCCTCCTCAATTTGGGATGATTCATTGTCTATTCATGTATTCCACAGATGCAGGGTACGTCAAGTTGATTGGGGAGCTTTAATCCGCTGCTTCTGAGCCTGCTGGGAGAGATTTCCCTTTCGCTTCTGTGTTCGCACAGCTCCCAGCGTTCAGCTTTGGTTTTGGCCCCGCCTCTGCATGTAGGTCGCCTGAGGGCGCCTGTTTTTCGTTCAGACAGGATGGGGTTAAAGGAGCAGCTGATTCGAGGGCTCTGGCTCCCTCAGGCCAGGGGTAGGGAGGGGCACGGAGTGCGGGGCGAGCCTGCGGCTGCAGAGGCCAACGTGACGTTGCACCAGCCTGAGGCGCGCTGTGCGTTCTCTGTTCTCCCAGGGAAGTTGTCCCTGGATCACGGGACCCTGGCAGTGGCGGACTGCACAGGATCCCGGCAGGGGAGGTGGGGTTAGTGACCTGTTTTTGCTCACTGGCTTCTTGGTGGCGGCAGCAGCAGCCTTAGCGTCTATGCCCATCTCTGGGGTCCGCGCTTTTAGCCGCGGCTCGCGCCCGTCTCTGGAGCTCCTTTACGCGCCGCTCTTAATCCCCTCTCTTCGCGCAGGAGAAACAAAGAGGGAAGAAAAAGTCTCTTCTCTTCGGCATCTCCAGACTTTCCCGGACTCCTTCCCGGCTAGCTGTGGCGCACTAGCCCCCTTCAGGTTCACACAGCCAACCCCAGTCCTCTCCCTGTGCTCTGACCGAAGTCCGAGCCTCAGCTCCCAGCTCCCAGCCCCCACCCATTCCGGCAGGTGAGCACACAAGCCTCTCGGGCTGCTGAGTGCCGGTCGGCACCGATCCTCTGTGCGGGAATCTCTCCGCTTTGCCCTCCGCACCCCTGTTGCTGCGCTCTCCTCCGCGGCTCTGAAACTTCCCCCCATGCCCACCTCCCATCTCTGCCCGCGAAGGGGCTTCCTAGTGTGTGGAAACCTTTCCTCCTTCACAGCTCCCTCCCACTGGTGTAGGTCCCGTCCCTATTCTTTTGCCTCTGTTTATTCTTTTTTCTTTTGCCCTACCCAGGTATGTGGGGAGTTTCTTGCCTTTTGGGAGGTCTGAGCTCTTCTGCCAGCGTTCAGTAGGTGTTCTGTAGGAGCATTTCCACGGGTAGATGTATTTCTGATGTATCTGTGGGGAGGAAGGTGATCTCCGCGTCTTACTCTTCTGCCATCTTCTCCTGGTCCCCCCTTCAGGTATATTTGTTAAGCTCTTTTGTCCCCTTCAAAGCTTTCTTTGATATATGGAGTTGCAGGAAAGGGAAAATGGAGAGAGAGAAAAAAATTAAAATGTATTTTAAATAATATAATTCAAAGGGACCTACGTTCTAAACCCTTAACACCAATGTTTTGGGCCATTTAGATATTTGGGCTCTCTATTGGTGCCTTTTTCATGAGAATGCTGTGTGGATTGCTGCTTTGGAAAGGTGGGTAGGAATTGGAGATGTCAAGGAGGGTAGCCTCCTAATTCAGCAGGTTGTTAGGTGAAGCCTCAAAGAAAATTGAATTTTAGGAAGAGAGCCACACATCTCAGGTTGCCAGTGCCAGTTTGCACTTGCTGTCGCAGTGTAATTATTAATAGTGCCCTATCTGATTCTCAAAAGTGTCCTATGTGGAATGGCCGCCCTCGTTTTAGGTCATGCAGAGTGGAGAATATTGGCGTGATGAATGGGAAAGATAAAGAGGGCTCAAGGGAGAGTTATGAGGGTAAATTCTGTGCAGGGTTTCCTTAAAAGGCTTCTTGTGCTTTCTGAAATGCCTCGCAGACTTTCTTCTGACGCACTTCTCATCATCAGTTTATTTTTCTTTGATGCAGTTCTTATGGGGCCAGTGTGTCTCAGCACGGCCTGGATTTCTGTTAGACTCGTGGGCAGCAGTGCTGCATCCATGTGTGATTCAAACCTGAACAGATGGGCTGTGAATGGGGTGATAAGAATAGAGAGAAGCACATAGCAGTAGACCAAACTTCCTGTGTACCCGCCTTTGAATACTGTTTCACTGTCTGAAATAGCATTCATCTTTTGGCTGGGATCATTTATTCCCTCTGGAATTAAGCAATGGCATTGGCAGCAAAAGAAACTATTTTGGGAAGGAGATGTGGGAGGAATTTTGCGATGTATGACAGGCTGGGCAGAAGTACCTTTCATGCTTTTGAGGACCGCACTGTTCATTAGTGCCCTGGTAAAGAGAAACTGACAACTTTCCGATAATCCCAAATCTAATGAATGTTGAGGTGAATGCATACACACTGTCATCTATGAAGATTAGCAAAGACTGAGTTTAGATGCTTCAACTTAATTCACCTACATGGCAGAAAGAGAACTTTTCTTTGGAGATTAGCCTCTAATGCAGATGCTTTTGAGAAGGGGTAAAATATAACATCTTGTTCCTGTCCCCTTCCTCACATACGCCCTTGAAGTTGTCTTTGCATATTCACATGCAGACTTTTCTAGATTGTTGGAGTTTAAAATAAGGCAATGAATGCTGTGTGTCCCCCCCTCCTTCCCCAGGTGGGTAGGGCTTGGCAGCTGGTAGCAGCTACAGAGATAAATAAGCATCAGGGCTCCTGGATGGACAGGGTGCAGAAGCGCCTGGGATGAGGTTGTGCAGCCGAGTGCCTTCCGTGGGACGAGGCCATGAGGATGGAGCTGCAGCTGGAGTCCAGAAGTTCAGGCAGTGAAAGGGAGGTGGGGCTTATAAGAACCCGTTTAATAGTCCTTTTGATCAAGCTGTTGCATTTTTGGGGTGGGGAGAGTACTTTAGAGGACAGATGAAAGTCATTTCATGCTATTTTGTCATTTAATGGATGTATTTAATGAAAACCAGGGAATTATGTTAGTCTGTTCCTATCTGACTTTTCTATTTGATACTCTTCTGCTAATAAAGAGAACTACCTTCAGAATTTTGTTTTTACCAATTTTCTGCAATTAGATATTAAAAACAGCAGCCCAGGGCTGCTTAACACTTTTCTATTTTGTTACTGATAACCAGTTTGGAAAACGTTTCTCTTTTCTTTTTTTTTTTTAAATTAATTTTTATTGGAGTATAGTTGCGTTACAATGTTGTTAGCTTCTACTGCACAACAAAATGAATCAGCCATACATATACATATAGCCCCTCCCTTTTGGATTTCCCTCCTGTTTAGGTTGGAAAACATTTTTCTATGGAAGGGTTTTGAATTCTCTTTTCAATGTGGTAGATGTAATAACCAAAGATGATTTTTGCTCTTTTATTATTTTTTTTCACTTCGGCAGTTGGGCTAATATGAAAGGTGAAGATGTTGAGATTCCCCACTCCAAAGAGTGCTGTCTAGGTTTATGATAAGCATTTTGTAAACTATATCCCCTTGTTCACAAAGGTATAGTAAGTTTACTTAAAGTCAAAAATCATAAATACCTACGTGTTTTACATGGGAAGCTTGGTGAAGTGTCAGTTAGTGCTACCATTATAGACATCAATGGCCTTATATTAATTTTTTTTAGACAAATAAACTATCATTTTATTTTCCAGCTAAATGATTCAAAGATTGAATGATCTCAGAATTTGAAATATGTTGCTCTCTTTCTATCTGGACGTGATGTTAAGTGTTCTTCATCTTCTTGTGACATTCTCTTTTTTTAAAAATCATTTCAATTTTTCATTTGAGAAATTGGTGGGAAAGACCTTTATATGGTGACAAGACATAAAAAAGAGTTTTAAAAAATTTGGAGCATTTCAAGAAAAAAATTGAAGACCTAGTTATTATGCCTTTCAAATTAAGCCTTTTCTAAAGTAGCATTTTCCTTTTGTGTGTCTAAACAGTAGAATGACATTTCTATAAGGAAGTTAGAGAAATTTTTTTAAAATAGTTTTTAAAAAAATTTATTTATTTTAGGCTGTGTTGGGTCTTCGTTGCTGCATGCAGGCTTTTTCTCTGGTTGCGGTGAGTGGGGGCTACTCTTCGTTCATTGTGGAGCACAGGCTCTAGGCGCATGGGTTTCAGTAATTGTGGCTCGCGGGCTCCAAAGCGCAGGCTCATTAGTGTGGCGCACTGGCTTAGTTGCTCTGCGGCATGTGGGATCTTCCCGGACCAGGGCTTGAACCCATGTCCCCTGCATTGGCAGGCGGATTCTTAACCACTACACCACCAGGGAAGCCCTAGAAAATTAATTTTAAGCTCAAATATTAAGTCTCCAGTGATGAATGAGCTAGATATTGTTGAAGGTGGATAGTAGAGGAAGGGAAGGGCATGAAGATTTAAAAAAGGAGGTTAAACGAAAACATTTGAAGTGTTTGGAAAATTGATAAATCAAGAAGGGTCTCACTGAGTGCTAGTATGTGCTAAGATCAGCACTGGGATATACAAATAAAGAATTGAATTTGAGAGGAAAATCAGGCATTGTTAATCTAGGTTTCATCTGGATTTATAAATGGGTTTATCAAAGATGAAATACATCACCAGCCAAGTATCTGTGGGATTATGTGTGGGTTGAATTCACCAGGGGTCCCAGCCTCTTCCGTCTTTTTATTCGGAGCTGTCTCCTTCTCACAAACTCACTGACCTTCCCTCCTCTGTGTTCTAGGAGAGACAGCGTCTGGAGACCATCCTCAGTCTCTGTGCTGAGTACACAAAGCCTGACAGTCACGTGTCCACTGGCACCACCGTGGCAGATGTACAGAAAATCAATAAGGAACTGGAGAAGCTGCAGCTCTCTGATGAGGAGTCTGTGTTTGAAGAAGCCCTGGTGAGCCCTGACACCAGATACAGGTGCCACCAGAAAAGCTCTCTCCACGATGCAGACCTGGCAGGCTTCGGGAGCCTCAGTCAGAGTAGCGCCAGCTTCCTTTCCCTCAGGAGCTCCAGGAATGATGAACTGATCAGAGACCTCACCAGGACTCCCCCACCGCCCTCCTCTGCCTTTCTGAAAGCTTCCAGCGAGTCCGCTTATCTAAGCATCCTACCAAAGGTAAAGCTGGCCACACACAGAGATTAAATTTAGGGCCTGAACCATGCATCTGCACTGGCCTAGACACTAGAGGTTTTATCCTGGTTGTTTTCCAAAATGTTTTCAGTGAAGCTTCAATTTAAGAGCTAATTAGCTAAGCAAGGTGCAACAAATTAGTGTGTTTACTATAAAGTAACAAATTTGCACTCTAGAAAATGTAGCAGTACAGAAAAGTATAAAGAAAAACAATTTCTCTTCTCCCTGCCCCCTCCAATTGTACACCTGAGAGAGAAAAACACAAAGTGTCTTACATGCCTTCCCAATATTTCTGTGCATATATGGCCGTATATTATAAGCATAGACATACATATATACAAGTATAGTGTTCTGTACGATATTTTTTCCCTCACTGAACGTCTGGAGCATCTTTGCATATTACTATACACAGTTCTGCCTCATTCTTTGGTTGACTAGTATTTTATTGTTTGGAAATCCTATTTAAATTGTTTCCAGTATTTTATCAACAAAATATATATGCAACAAATATTCTGGAAAATATATATTAGCACAATTGTGCAAATGTGTCTGTAGGATCACTTACTAAAAGTGGAATTGGTAGGTCAAAGAGTTTGTATATTATTCATTTTAATCAATATTCCCAAATTATACTCTCAAAAGACTGTGTATTTCCAGGTGACACGGAGTAAGAGTTTATCCATACACCTTGTTACTCATACACTTGCCAAAGTTACGTATTATCAAAAATTTTTAATATGCTAAGTTAATGATGTTTTAATTTTCTTGCCTTTAATTATGCATAAAATTGGACATCTTTTCATATTTTTAGTTGTTCATTTGTATTTTGAGACACTCATGTTCTTCACCCATTTTTTTGTCTTTAGGACACCTTTATTATTATTTATTTAACTTTTTAAAATGAAAGTATTGTTGATTTCCAATATTATATTAGTTTCAGGTGTACAACATAGTGACTCAATATTTTTATAGATTGTACTCCATTTAAAGTTGTTATAAAATATTGGCAATATTCCCTGCATTGGACAATCTATCCTTACATCTTATTTATTTTATACATAGTTGTTTGTACCTCTTTTTTTTTTTTTCCCAGAACACAAATTTATTTGGCATTCGGATGAAACGGTTCTCACAGCATCTTAAGAATTAGTGCGAACCCAACCAAAATAAACCCAAACTAAAAACCCTTAGTGAAAGGAAAACATAAACAGGCCTTGAGACAATGGCCTATAGACACCCACCCCCACCAAGCAGGTCAGCAGCTCTCACAGGAGCACAAGACTCTCAGCCAGGGCTGGTCGGGATTCGTATGACCACGGAGCACAGCCAGATCTCATGATGGTTGGCTTAGGCAGAAGGCCGACCCCACCTCTCCCCTTGCTCCCCCACCCCCACCCCCAGTGGAGCTCAGCCCCTGGGGCACTAGCTCCTGGGGACACTGCAGGCAGCAGGCAAGGCCTGAAAACAGTGCTGCACGTGGGCTGAGCAACCCCGGAGCCCTGGCCTGTCCAGAAGCAGGCCCCCCCTGTGGCCCCCACAGCCTGCTTCGGACCACCCCCTTAGTGACTCCCACATGCCCAGCTGGCCCAGCAGTCCTTCTGTCCCCAAGGAAGTCCCCAGTCCCACACATCTAGTGCCAGCCGCCCTGCCCTGTACACATGGGCCTGAGGCCTGGGCCAGAGACATGGGGGCTGGGAGGGACCCTGAGCTGTTGGGGCCAGGCCCCTCTGGGGAGCCCACTCCAAAGGAGGAGTGCTCAGGACCCTCACCTAGCACCAACAAGGCCTGTGACAGCTGCTCAGTGCCCAGAACACAGTGGAGGCAGGACACGCTTTCTGCTTTGTCTTCAGCAGCCAGTGCAGTCACTCTCCAGTCCCAGTCCTTGGCAGGGGGAGTGCAGGCCTGCTCGGCATGCAGCCTGCCTGTGTGGGGCCGCCTGCAGCACTCTGGCTCCTGTGGGCTGAGCCCCGGTCTGTGGGCAACTTGAGAAGCTCATGCTGCCCAGGGAAGAACAAAACGGTCCCCAACGGGAGACTGTGAGAACCTGTCCAGAAATAGACTGTGCCAGCAAGGCCTGTCACCACAGAGCACCCACTTCAAGTCATCCCCCGCTCACTGCTGGTCTGGGAGGGCGCAAGGGGCCGGGGAAGGGCTCCCTGCTCTCAGCTGAGGGCCACACCTTGGGGCTGCCCAGCATGCCATGGCTGGCCCTGGAAAGGCGGGCCCCAGGCCTGTTTGTACCTCTTAATCCCCGACCCTTATCTTACCCCTCTTCCATCCCTTTCCCCGTTGGTAACCACTAGCTTGTTCTCTATATCTGTAAGTCTGTTTCTGTTTTGTTACATTTGTTTGGTATTTTTATTTTAGGTTCCACACGTAAGTGCTAATATACAGCATTTGTCTTTCTCTGGCTTACTTATTTCACTAAGCATGATATCCTCCAGGTCCATCTATGTTGCTGCAGATGGGAAAATTTCATTCCTTTTTATGACCGAGTAATATTTCATTGCCTATATATACCACATCCTCTTTATCCATTCATTTGTTAATGGACACTTAGGTTGCTTCTATTTCTTGGCTATTGTAAATAATGCTGCTATGAACATTGGGGTGCATATATCTTTTCAAATTACTGTTTTTTGTTTTCTTCAGATATATACCCAGGATTGCAGTTGCTGGATCATATGGCAGTTCTGTTTTTAGCTTTTTTGGGGAACCTCCGTACTGTTTTCCATAGTGACCCTACCAGTTTACATTCCCACCAACAGTGTATTAGGGTTCTCTTTGCTCCACATTCTTCCCAATACTTGTTATTTGTGGACTTTTTGTTGTTTTCTGACAGGTGTGAGGTGATATCTCACTGTGGTTATGATTTGCATTTTTCTGATGACTAGCAGTGTTGAGCATCTTTTCATGTGCCTGTTTGCCATCTGTATGTCTTTTTTGAAAAAATGTCTATTCAGGTCTTCTGTCCATTTTTTAATTGAGTTGTTTTTCTGATATTGACTTATATGAGCTGTATATTTTGAATATTAACTCCTTATTGGTCATATCATTGCAAATATTTTCTCCCATTCAGTAGGTTGTCTTTTCATTTTGTTGATGGTTTCCTTTGCTGTGCAAAAGCTTTTAAGTTTCATTAGGTCCCATTTTGGGGGCGGTGGGGGAATCCAGTTAAATTTTGGTGGACACTTCAGGGTTTTGTGTATATGGTCATGTCATCTGCAAATAGTGACAGTTTAACTTATTCTCTTCCAATTTGGATGCCTTTTTATTTCTTTTTCTTGTCTGCTTGCTGTGGCTAGGGCTTCTAATACTATGTTAAATAGATGTTCTGAGAGTGGGCATCCTTGTCTTGTTCCTGATTGTAGAGGAAAATCTTTCAACTTTTCACGATTGAGTATGTTAGCTGTGTGTTTGTCATAAACGGCCTTTATCATGTTGAGATATGTTCCCTCTGTATCAACTTTGATGAGAGTTTATCATGAATACATGTTGAATTTTGTCAAATTCTTTTTCTGTGTCTATTGAGATGATCATGTGATTTTTATCCTTTGTTTTGTTAATGTGGTGTATCACATTGGTTGATTTGCAGATATTGAACCATCTTTGCATCCCTGGAATAAATCCTACTTGATTATGGTGTGTACTTATTGCCATTTTCTTACTTATTTACTGGTTGTTATTGTAGTTCTGCTTTTTTCTCTTCCTTTAGTTTGTTCCCTTGTGGTCTGATGATTTTCTTTAGTGGTATGCTTGTGTTCTTTTCTCTTTAGTTTTTGTGTATCTATTGTAGGCTTTTGATTTGTGGTCACCATGGGGTTCATGTATTGACCTATAGCTATATCTACTTGTTTTAAACTGATAATCACAAGTTCAAACACATTCTAAAAGATCTACATTTTTACTCCCTTTCCCCATGTTTTGTGGTTTTGATGCCATATTTTACATCTTCATGCATATCCCTTAACTGTTTATTATAGTTATAGTTGATTTTACAGTCTTTGTCTTTCAGTCTTCATGCTCACTTATTTAAGTGACTGATCCACAGCCTTTACTGTATATTTGCCTTTACCTGTGGGATTTTTCTTTTCTTATAAATTCTCACTTCTTGTTGTAGCCTTTTCTTTTCCACTTAAAGAGACCTTTTTCTTTTAGGGTCACTTTAGTAATTGATGAACTTTTAGTTTTTGCTTGTCAGAGAAATTCATATTTCCTTCAATTCTGAATGATAACCTTGTTGGATAGAGTATCCTAGGTTGCAGGTTTTTCCCTTTCAAGATTTTGAAGATATCATGCTGCTTCCTTCTGGCCTGCAAAGTTCCCGCAGAAAAATCAGCTGATAGCCTTAGAGGGATTCCCTTGTATGTGACTCTGTTTTTCTTTTGCTGTCTTTAAAATTCTCTTTTTATCTCTAGCCTTTGCCATTTTAATTATGATATGTCTCAATGTAGGTCTCTTTATGTTCATTTGTTTGGGACTACCTGTGCTTCCTGTACTAGAAATCAGTTTCCTTCTTCGACTTCAGGAACTTTTCAGCCATAATTTCATCAAATACATTTTCTATCCCTTTCTGTCTCTTTTCACCTTCTGGGACCCCTATAATGTGAATGTTACAACACTTGACATTGTCCCAGAGGTCCCTTAACCATTTTTTAAAATTCGTTTTTCTTTTTGCTGTTCTGATTGGGTGATTTCATTATTCTCTCTTCCAGATTGCTTATGTGTTCTTCTGTATCACCTAATCTTCTATTAATTCCTTCTAGTGTATTTTCCATTTCAGTTATTTTATTTTTGAGCTCCGTTTGGTTTTTCTTTTTCTTTTTTTTTTTTTTTTTATATTTTCTGGTTCCTTGTTAAAATTCTTCCTGTGTTCATCTATTTTTTTTTAACCAAGTTCAGTTAGCATTCTTATTACTAATGCTTTGGACCCTTTATCTGGTAAGTTATTTATCTCTGTTTCATTAGGGTTTTCTTCAGGTTTA